TTTTTCAAATATGCTAATATATATGTCTACAACTTTTTCAGTTATCTAAAATACGGGGCTGTAATTAATAATAGCAATTGCAATCATTTCCAGAGAAAGTTTGTTCTGTGCTTGACATCATGTACCTTTTACAACAAGTTTGTTAGGCTAGATATTACATTTAATTTTAAGTGAAAGACTTGAGTTAACAGAAGTTAAACAGGCTGGGTGCCATGGCTCACACCTGTAATCCCAGCACTTTTTGAGGCAGAGGCGGGAAGATCACTTGAAGTCAGAAGTTTGAGACAAGCCTGGCCAAGATGGTAAAAACCTATCTCTACTAACAACACAAAAATTAGCTGGTGTGGTGGCATGTGCCTGTAATCCCAGCTACTCGGGAGGCTGAAGCTAGAGAATTGGTTAAACCCAGAAGGAGAGGTTGCAGTGGGCTAAGATTGCACCACTGCATTCTAGCCTGGGTGACAGGGCAAGACTTCCTTCCTCGGCTCCGGCCCCCACTGCTAGAAAAAAATGGTTAAACGTGTGTTTCATTGTGAAGTCAGAATTTGAACACGGGCTTTATCTCATTCACAATATCAGTCTGTTAACCACTTTGCATTTTTTTTGCTCCTTATGACATATGTTGATAAAAATCTTTGTGGTATAGGCTTTGCACACATTTTAGATTATATCCTGAGGTATATTATTAGATATAGAATTACACATTTATTTGAGGCTCTTAATACATTTGTTCAAATTATTTTCAAAGTGTGTTCATTAGATTCACATTGCGATCCCAGTACAGTAGATCTTAGTATTGGTTATTTTTACCATATTTGATATTTGTTAATTAGATAGGACAAAAATGTATTTTATGGATTTAACTTTCAGATTAAAAAAATTAGACATATTGAATGTCTTCAATTTATGAATTAGCTATTTTATTGTTTCCTGTGTGAATATGCTGTTATACTGCTTAGTTTTTTTTTTTTTTTGCTCAGGTATTAGTGTTAATCCTACTGACCTTTAAACTCTTGATATATTTGAGAAGTTACATTTTGTTGACTTGTTTAGTAACAAACTTTTATATACCCATTCCTAGATGTCAGGTACAATTCGGGACGCCTTATATTTATTCCTCATTACCCTTACAGTTAGGTACTATCATTATCCCCATTTTTACGGATGAAGAAACCAAAGCACAGAGTACATAACTTTCCTCAGGTCACACACTGCCAGGCTGGCTTGAGCAATCGTGACTAAGTATGTCTTGCAAATATTTCCCAAACTTCACACTTTTTGTTTTATTTGGTTTAGTATTACATATATTACAAACTAGGTGTCATATAATCAAATCCATTGATTTTTATGCATTCTTTTATGTATAAAAATTATTTCTCTATATATTGGAAGGTAAGCAAACTACCACACAAAGACATGTTGTCAGGTGTGTTTATACCATTATTGTTTAGAATAGAAAATTATTGTTTAGAATAGAATAGAAAATCAGAAGCCACTTAAATGTCCATCCACTGAGGTGTGATTAAATATATCATGATACATTCATACACAGATTGCGCAGTCACAGGATGAGAAAGCTGAATATATATTTCTATTGACATCATATTTAGTCACCACATGTTGATAAAAGGAATGCTTTTAAAATAGAAGCTCACCTATGTTTTAAAAACATATGTGTTGTAAATACATGTTTACCTCAGTCTATTAATATATTAGTAGAAATTTATGCTTGGTTGCTTATCTCTTTTTGAAAACATCTTAAAATGAGAGTGGATTACTGGTAAAAAATATTTTTTCCAAAATATTTAGGTGCCCAATTCTAGCCCTAACTTCCATTACTGCACATGGCTCTTTGATTAAAATCAAGAAACACTCTATTTTTTTAAGAAAATTCTTTCTTTACTAAGAGATCAAAGAAATATTCTTTTTTTTCTGATAGTTTTTCTGAAATATAGATGATTGATATTTTTAAAATTTCTTTTTCTATCCCTTGAGATATCTCTTATTGCACTGTAGGTGTCAAATATGAACAATTTGTATGTAGGCGAGAATGACTAACTTGCTCCTATAGAATCCTATAAGAATCTATAAGAACCCTAATACACTATTGTTAACTTATAAAAATGGTCAGACACATAATAAGTACTTAGCAAATATATGTTGACTCTTGAATTAAGAGCTGACTGTAGTAATGCAAACAGCCTGTGTTATACTCAACCAAAGTTTAGACTTAATCCCCATATAATTTCAGAAATATATCCTTAAAATAATTATGAAATATGTGTTTACATGCACCAAAATGTAAGCTTGATAGTAAAGATTTTTACTGATTAGTCACTGCTGTATCATTAGAATTGAGGTCAGTCCTGACACATAGATATTCAATAAATACTGTTCAAAAAAGTAAATTAATAATTTATATGCTATGTAAAATAACCCACTATGTAAAGTAAACCATTTTTTCTAATAACTAGAAAGTGAGGTCAGTTTTATTGTAATTATCTCACAGGTTACAAAACTAAAACTGACAGAATGTAGGTAACTTGCCCAAGCTCTTACAGTTGGGAAATTCTAGCTCTGGGATCTAAAGCTTCTGGGATCTACGTCTGGTCTTAGAGTTCTTATAAGCAAGCTGTACATCTTTTCAGTACATACCACTCTGGGGCTCTGAGGAAAAAGAGACTATAAAAATAAATACTTTGCACTGTTTTATTGCTACTCAAATGTCCTTTCATTCATTCATTTAGCAGACCTTTACTGAATGCTTACCATGTGTCTTTTTAGAAACTGGGATTAGATTACAATGGTTAAAAAAAAAAAAAGGTGAAGATCCCCATTCTAATGGGGAAGGAGAGAAACAACAAATGTGCTAACTAGGGACCAAAAAAAGATAATTTAAAAATCTGATGATTGCTCTGAGGAAACTTTAAATGGGTTGATTGGGGATGGCTCCTCTAAGAAGAGAAAATTCTCCACTGGAAGATTTGGGACAGGCTGTTACAGGCAGGACCAAACAGCAAGGGCAATACGCTCAGTGTGTGTGAGGATTTTGAAATGGCTGGTGTGCCTGGAACATAGTGAACCGGGGGAAGTGGAAGCCAGATGGCAAGTCATTTTTGTTTATTTGGAATACTTAAAGCTTCCAGAGAATAGGTGTTTGATTTGGGCATTTTAAGCTGATTTAAGCCTTCTGAGCAACAATTAAAATTTATTTAATCCCTCTAACCAAACATAAGAATTATTTCAATCTTCAACAATGCTTTAAAAAATGAAGAGGAAAAAATAGAGATAGTATAAGTTAACATTATGAACCCTGTGAAAGATGAATTCAAAATAAATCACTAGGGATGTTCGACTAGCTACAGAAAAGGTTGCTTAATACCGGCATTGGCTTTCAAGAGAAATCATGGAATCTCCCCTCTGGAGATAGTTTAAAATAGGATTAGATATATTCATTCAGTGCAGCCTTGCCTGAGAGCTCCACTGACCTCCCAAGGTCTTGCCAGTCCTGTGATTCTGTGATAAAATTAGACCCTTTCATTGGACAAAAACAACCCAGGGTTCACTATGCCAGCTGCAACCTGGAATAATTGGAAGGGACTGATTTTGGAGTAGTATACCTCCTACAGCTGAGACAAGATGCAATTAACAGATCCCCAGACCTCTCTTATTTCATGCTGTACTGAGTACTCTGCTGGTTCTCAGCCAATAATGGCTGGTATCAATGATACAAGCAAAGTCAAGTGGTTTGATCCATGATTAAATAGTAGATGTCTTTATTAGCTGCTGACCTTGCTTTGAGCAGCATGGCTTCAAGAATTGTGTACCTATTAGCTGATTCTTTAATCCTTGAAAATAGAAACCAGATGAATCCAATAATGAATTTTTATTTGGCCTTTTTTCCCACCATTCTAAAGACGAAATAGCTCAAGTTCCTATGCCAGGAGCCTTAACCTAATTAAGCAACTCAACTCAACTGTTCAGATACTTAACCTGCAGTATTTACCCATTGCATTTTCTCATTTAGCAATCCCTGCTTTCAAGAAAAATTCAAGCAAATATAAATATATTTTTCTGACACTCTCGTTTAGCGGTAACTGGGCACAGTGACTAGAGCACACATCTGGAGTGAGGCAGACCTGGAATTCATGCCAGCTCCTTGTGACCCAGGATGTAACTATGAACTTGAAGAAGTTTCCAGTCTCTGAGGCTTGTGTCTATGTATCAGGGATAATCTTATTACCCATTTCATAGACTTGATATTAGGGTATATAATAACGTAGTTCTCTTTATTCATCTTCTATATTCTTCTTTATCCCATCTCTGATGATTATGTTTTCTAGCTTACTGTTTTTCTCTCACTTCCCACCTTCACCCTCTGCTAACACACACACAAATACACACGAATCCGGATGTGAGCTCCATGAGGACAGGAACCCTTTGACAGTGCCTACAAAGAGTTACACATAAATATCCCATGACATACATTTATAGGGCAAAGGAAATCACCAAACATTTTGCATAATGGTGCCTGGTATATTATGAGCATTCTATAAAATGTCAGCTGATTTTTTTCTTGGAAATAACAGATTTAGCTATATCTATCAGGTTACTTTGTCATCTGAAGCAGCCTGCTATCAAGAGCAAAGTGAGAGGAACTTGCACAGTGGACAGAGCTTGGTTCTGACTTTGCTAACAATAATGTTGCTTTATTTTATTTTATTTATTTTTTGAGATAGAGTCAGTCTGTGGCTCAGGCTGGAGTGTCATCATGGCTTACTGCAGCATCAAACTCCCAGGCTCAAGTGATCTTCCCATCTCAACCCCCAGAGTATCTGAGATTACAAGCATGCACCACCATGCCTGGCTAATTGAAAAAAAAAATTGTACATACAGGGTTTCCTTTTATTGTCCAGGCTGTTCTTGAACTCCTGGACTAAAGCAATCCTCTTGCTTCAGACTCTCAGAGTACTGAGATTACAGGCATGTGCTACCATGCTCAGTCACAGTAATGTAATTTTGGATGAGCCATTGCATCTCTTTGGTTTCCTTCCATGGGTGAGATTCCATATTCTTATTAATATTGCAAATGATTTTTGTGCAACTATATATTATGTTCCTTAGTAAAAGGGGTAGAAGACACCAAAGAAGACACATAGTTATGCCGTTAAATGCTCTCAGAACCATCCCCTCACTTTCCGGGTATCCTCTGTTAAACTCATTATAGAATGAGGAAATTAAGAAATAGAGAGATTGAAGAATGCATAAGTACATGAAACATTCCCAATGATTACCTTCACTGCTTCCTTATTTACCTAGTCATAATTCACAAAACACAAAAGAGGAGAACCGTCAAGCTTGGATCAGCAGAAAGAACTGAGCAGGTTGGTGTTCGTTCCTGGATATATGTGTCTTTCTTGTAAGCCAAAATACCTCGGTGTTTGTGTTCTAGAGCAAATGTTTCTTTAGTCTCTTTCATAGAGACTAAAGCTTTTCTTCTTTACTTATTCATCATGTACATTCACACCTCAAGTATTGGCTAGAACAAGGTTGAGGAGGAAAGCAATTCATGGCATGAGGTTCACATTTTGAAAGGAGGGTCATAGGACCCTGGAGTTTTAGATGTTAACACAGCTCCTTTCCACTTTAAATTTTAAATATCTGTGCAAATTTGAGATGAAAGAATGCATGCTAGTTTCTTTTTAAACAAGTAAATGTTTGAAAAGCTTACGAGGGTGGGATGGACGATCATGAAAGGGAAAGGGAAATGGCAAAAGAGCAGAAGAAAGGCAAGAAAATATGAAAGAGGAAGAACGTGAAAGAAAGAATAAAAAGATTTCTCAAACTCAAAATGTCAAGAAACACTATCAACAGGTAGAACTAATAACTAGAAAAAGTGCTTTAAGGGCAAAGTTATATATATATTTGAGATGGAATCTCATTCTGTTGCCTGGCTGGAGTGCAATGGCACAATCTCAGCTCACTGCAACCTCCACCTCTCGGGTTCAAGCAATTCTCCCGCCTCAGCCTCCTGAGTAGCTAAGATTACAGGCATGCACCACCATGCCCAGGTATTTTTGTATTTTTAGTAGAGATGGGGTTTTACCATGTTGGCCAGGATAGTCTCAATCTCCTGACCTCGTGATCTGCCTGCCTCAGCCTCCCAAAGTGCCAGGGTTACAGGCATGAGCCACCGTACCCGGCCCAAGTTTTAATAATTTTTGGAAACTTTTTTTCTTCAGAATTTAGAACTTAGATGGTGATTTGATTGGGGAGATGTTTTGAAAAGGGAAAAAAAAATGAATAGTAGAAATGTCTAAAGATGCTGATTAAGAGGAACAACAAAGCCAGATGGCATAAATGGCATCTTTAGGAATTTTGTGGCATAAGAAGCTATGCTAAAAAGTTCCCCTCTGTCCTGAATATGGTGCAGTCACACACTGAGTATGCTCTGTGTCCTCAGTTAGCTACATGAACTCACTTAACGCACTCGACCCTAAAGCCTTTACCTTTGTCTTAGCAATTTAGACTCTTTGTTTTTAGCTGTTTTCAGTACTTCATCAAGCTGATTTTGTTGCCCTTTTAGAAATCTTAATCAGTAAAAGTTGTCTTCTTTGTAAAACAGTTATGGCATATCTATATTCTAGAATTTTAAGCAGCCATTAAAAAGAGTGAGGATATCTAGATGTATTGAACTTAGATTAGGTTAAAATATCAACTTGCAGAATAATTGGTACAAACGTATTTTGGTGCTAACAGCCACATGCATATATTTGTATAATTATAAAGAGAGATAGAAAAAAATATACATAAATGACTAGCTTTGGTTTCTGCAAGACAGAGGGGGGTAGAAAGGAAAGAGATTATTAATTCTTTTCTTCATATATCTACATTGTTTATTTGTTATAATAATCATGGGTTGCTTTTGTTGTTAAGATAATAATGTAGAAAACTATTTAAAGACTTCCGTATAGTTATTATGTGGGACTATCCCTTTATATGGACTAATATTTTGCGTGAATTATTTGCAACATCATTCCTAGTTATTTCCTAAATAATTCTGATGTTAGATATTTACTCCATGCATGCATTAGACACATTTGAGTCAAATGCTGCAACCTGCCTATTCAATAACCAGTCTTCCTTTTTCCTTATTATATGAAAGCTTATAACAGTCTCAGAGGCAACATGGCCAGCTTAAAAGTGGAACAACAGAACCAAATGAAACATATGAAAACAGAAACAAGTAGAAGCTCTAATAGCCACACAACTAAAAATGGTCATGATAATAAAATCCAGCTATGGTGACATAAGCGAAAGTTGTTGTGTGGAAGGTGCAGGAGGACTCCTTCAAAAGAAGTATGGACAGTTAGTGTACACTTTTCTGGCCTTCCCATCTCATTCCTTCCTGCTGCCAGGAACAGTGACATGAGAACTGGAGTGCTAACAGGCATTCAGATCATGAGGCAACATTATAGATGAAAGCCACACATTGAGGATGATGGAGCAGAAAAAGGGAAAGAAGGAGATTTTCTGATGATCCCATGGTACCAGCTGACACACCTGGACTGCCTACTCCTGACTCTCTTGTATTTGAAAGAACAGGTTTTGTTGTGTTTAATCACTACTATTTTTGGATTTTCTGTTGTATGCAGCTGAATTTAGTTCTAATTGGTGTAGACAAGTCTGTCTGTAACTAGATGCATGTGGAAAATAAAACTTTTATGGGAAAAATACAGAATTATGGAATCAAATTCTATATTTTTTGCTTTTGCAGCACAGGCATATTCTTTCCACGCTCTGATCTAGAGTAGCTCACTTGTTAAATCATGATAATTCTGGTTGTGTCTATTTTGCTTCCACTTCTGATGAATAATTGAATATTTAGAGCTGTCGTGAAAGTTTTTGGTCCTTCTCCTGCTAACAATAGAAGGTCTTGATGAATTAATTAAGCAAAAATAAAAGTGTACAGAGGCAAAAGTGCTACAATCACTTAAACCTGTGTCTAAGGGTCAAAGTGCTAATTTCTGAAATTCCAGAGAACAAAAAATAGCTACTGTAAATACAAAATCTGAGCTGAGATGGAGCACAAGCCTTATTCAATAACATAAGAAAAGACCTGCAAGTAAAGCATCTAATGGGTTCTATTCTGGCTCTGCTATCTAATCAGCATCTGTGCCTGAATGATATCATTTAGGCTCTCTATGCCTCATTAGTGAAATGAGATAACTAACCTATAGAGGAAGGAAATATTTGATAGTGAAGTGAAGCATGGTTGAGGGAACTTTGTGAAAGCCTTCCCTCTATGAAAGAAGGTGTATTTCTGGAGCGGTTGTGCTAGCCATCTAGATACTCTGTTTACACTGGCAAAGAACAAAGGATATCTTGAACAAGTGATCATTGGCAAAGAACAGAAAAGGTGGCAGATCTTTTATCATATTTCGGGGTTGTGAGCAGGCAGCACTTTTTCTTCCTCTCCTCCAAGTTGTCAATGTCCACAGTAGTGAGAAGGAACTGTAGTACTAGCTCCTTTTATTAATTAAAAAGTTGTTCCTGCTACATAACTAAAATTGTTGCTCTGAATCTCCTATGCACTCCAATTTCCTGTTTTTAAACTTTGATGAAGCAAACAATAGAAATTATTTTCCTCATTTTACAGATAAGATGATTTAAGTTCAGAGACAAGGAGTAACTTGATTAAGGTCACTAAAGTATTGAATGGCAGAGCTTGAATCCAAAGTAGTTTTTTTTTAACTTTAACACTATTGGTCTAAACCATACCATATACTGGTATGCATGAGACACAAAGGAGCAAGTTATAACTAACATGCAAGTCTATTAGGGCATATTTAACAATGTGAGAAATATTCTCTCATTCCATTTCCCTCAAAGCTGTATATATGCTTGACAAACCAAATATTCTCAAGTATGAGACACACAAACACACACACACACACACACACACACACGCACACACTCTCCCTATTTATAGTTTTAAATGGAAGAAAAAACAAGGTCCTAAACTTGCTTCCAGGGAGGACGATACATATAAGAATGAGCATTTAAATGAAGATTAAAACTGTGGTAATAATTTAGTAGTGATCCAGGCTTTTAGCCATTAAGGGAATTTTCCAAGCAGAATCTAAGATAACAATGCATTAGAAACTCTAGAGGACATCAGCCACATCTGTTTCCTTCACTCCTGGCTCCTCATGGCATATACCAATTTCAGTTAAATCAAATGAAGCAAAAATATTTGTAGAAGAAAAAGAGATGCTTGAAACAAATTCTTTGTCTGTAGGTCAAAGGTCCTTTGGAAACTCTAATAATTTGTGAAACTTAGATTACTCCATTAAGGCATCTACTTCATGTTCTTGGATGTTTAAGATTTGAAATTTAAGATTTCTTTTTCATAGTTAACACCTACAAGACTCTAAACCCCATTATGGTAAAGAAAAGATGACTTTTTTGTGTTCTTACTATTGTATTGTAGGAATATCATAGTATCTGATCAAGGGGTTTAATGTTGCTAAATTCATAAATCAATGATACGTTGGTAAAAAATGTGGCAGACTATAAATCACATGTCATTACCAAGTAAGATTATTATCTGATTAAGAAGCTGATAAGCCTATAAATGCTAATGGCAGGTCACGTAAGTCAAGACACCCCATCTTTCTGTGAATCAAGGTCTAGTTGCGACAGTCTCTCTCAGAAATGCAGTAAGTTACTTCAATGTAAACAGCGGCTGCACTACACTAGTCAGAAATCTAATGGCTCTGAAGAGTTAATGTAGCTTTTACAAGGGGCCAACTTTATACTTGGTAGCAATTTTGACACTAAAAAGTGCATTCTTCAATAGAATCATATTCATGTAGAATTAAATAAGTTGAAATAAATTTTAGCATAAAAAATATGAATGGCTTAGGCCATCGATCACCATTTATTTTGGTTTGGACAAAAGGGGAAAAGGGATGTTCTTCTTCGTAGCTCTAGTTCAAGCACAAATAAGAGCGAAAATTCTTACAGTAATTTGATTAAAATTGTTCTATCTACACGTAGCAAGAAATTACTTTTGCTACTCTAACTACATGATGCACACACTTCTGAGCTATGGAATTTCCCTGAAGCAGATGGGAAGCCATTTATTGTGGTAAGGGCATAGCCCTTTTTAAGATTTAGATCTGACAGGAGAGCTGTGTCAGCACAAATGAGAGAAAGCTGGTGGCCCTGGAGCAAAGTCCCTCTGCCAAGAGGACCCAGAAGGTGTTTCTTGGGGATTCTGACAGGAAACAATCCTGCAAAAATGAATAGTAATAACTCAGATCAGGAGACCCTTCCAGCTTCTACTAAGTAATAGGATTAAAAATCTAGGCAAATCCAAAAAAATATAAATCTAGATTTTAAATGACCTAAAATAATTCTTTATTTTGTCTACATTAGTCTTGCTCCCCATTGACTAGAAACAGGGACCCTTTTGGACCAGAAATTCAGACTAAGATGGATAACTAAATATGTATTAATTCACATATGTTAGAAATATAATCAACCTGACATCCAAACCCTTAATTTACAGGTGAGGAATGCAAAAACGAGACAAGAAAAATGAATTGCCTGAAATCACACTACTAGTTGTAAGTACTGCTAGAATTAAACCTAGTTCTTAAGTCCCAACCAATTTAATGTAGGAAGTCTTTGATCCTGTTTTGTAAATAATTGTACGATTTTTCCTAAGGAAGCTGGTAAACTATAGAAACACATTTCAATTATCAGTTTTGAAATTCAATGTCATAAATCATGGAAATGCACATTAAATGTACATAAGAATATATGACAATGACTAAAATAAAAAATATTCATGATACTTAGCATTGGGAAAAATTTGCAGTAACTGGAATTCTACACTAGTGGGAATGTAAATTACTTCATTTTTTTTATAAATCTATTTGTTGATATCTACTAAAGCTAAAGGTATAGTACTCCATCACCCAGGAATTCCATTCCAAGCCATAGACTTAAGAGAAATGAAAGCATGTATTTACATGAGGATTTCAGCATGAATGCTTATAGCAGTCCAAATGTCCATTAACAGTATACTGGAGAAATATTTTTTGTTATCTTCCTACTATAGAATCTTACACAGCCATGAAAAAATCAAATTACTGCTTTTTACAACAATTTGGAAAACTGTCACTGATATAATGATGGATAACTATCTGTGGTGTGTGTATACTGTGTATGTGTGTGTGTATCCATATAACCACTACCCCCACACACATACACTCCATGGGTATCAATTAAGCTGTACACTTCAGACTTAAACATTTTCTCTCCATAACTATATATATTTATTCCTCAATTAAAAGTATACATATGGGAATTTATTCTGAAAAAAACAGAAAAATATGAATTGTTTGTATTCTTACTTAACAGTAAGGATAAAGTAGTCTTTTCAAAGTATAGTGTTTGAACAATTAGGACTAAGTAATGACAATGGTAAGCTATTTTTGCTGCAGCAGCAAAGTGCCCATTCTACTAAAACTGTGAGTTGTGATAACTCATTGAAGGGCTATAAAAATCATTCCTTAAAATATCTCATAATCTTTCTGTTCAGAAACATAAATCTTGAAATGAGTAATAATAGTTGACATGACTAAGAAGAGCTGATTAAGGAAAAGATCAGATGACTAAAGGAATTTCAGACAAGGCAGCTGTGGCAGGTAATGTGTTGTTAGTCAATACCTTCTCTGTTATTCTTCATTGTGAGTCAAAACTGAGATAGATCAAAGAATTTTTTTTTTTAAAGGAAACACTTTGGGACTCATAGCAACTCTATGGACTTTAAGGGTTGGGAGTGGAAACTTTCTGTCACTAATGCTCTCACATCCTCCCACCATGTCTCATAAATTTCTTAGGCACCTCCACATAGAGAAGAAAATGTCCACAGGTTCAGGAACATGTTCTTAGATAATGATCCTATCCTTTAGACCACAGTATAAAATTTCAATTTGGTTAAAAAGCCAGACACAACTTTTCTCACTCCACTTTTGTTAAAGGCTTGCTCTGCCTGTTAGAATAATGCAGTTATACCAAAATAAGAAAATAGAAACCATGTAAGTTAGAAAGTTGGCAGTTGTCAAGGTCAAGAACTGTGGCTATTCCTTAGTGTATCTCATATTCTCCCTATTTTATCAATAAGATTAACTCTAGTTTTCAATTTCTATTGAACTGTACTAAATATTTATCTTAACATCTGATCTGACCAAACTTAACTTTTACTTTTCTATAGCACTTTGATATAGTTCTTTTGTTAACAATCACAGTATATTGTGTTGACTGATCAACAAACTATTTCTTCTTATTATTAAAATATCTCAATCCTAGCACTTTGGAAGAGTCTGGCAGGAGGATCGCTTAGAGCCCAGGAGTTTGAGACCAGCCTGTGCAACATAGGGAGACTCCCATCTCTACTAACAATTTTTTTTTTTTTTTTTTTGAGACGGAGTTGTTACCCAGGCTGGAGTGCAATGATGCGATCTCGGCTCACCGCAACATCTGCCTCCTGGGTTCAAGCAATTCTCCTGTCTCAGCCTCCCTAGTAGCTGGGATTACAGGTGTGTGCCACCATGCCCAGCTAATTTTTGTATTTTTAGTAGAGACAGGGTTTCACCATGTTGATCAGGATGGTCTCGATCTCTTGACGTCGTGATCCACCCGCCTCGGCCTCCCAAGGTGCTGGGA